TGGGAAAATAGGGGGACGCACTTTCTCAAAAACTGGGATTCGGGGTTGCACAAAAACAGTGCGACCCCGGTGAGAAAATAAAGGGAAAGAGTATCGGGCTTGCTTGTTAAAAGAGTTTGTTGTCTGTCTTCTCCACTTCCTCTGCCCAATAGCAACGTCCAAACTTCCGGTGATATTTTCAGATAGATGGTTGTCTCCTTCTGACCTTTTCAACTGTTTTTAATTCTTCTTTATTTTTTGAGCTCCAAAAACCAAATAGATATATGGTGCAATCACAGTGGGCCTGGCTGCCATGGTTTCCAACAACCAATGCTCTCTCTCTCTCTCTCTCTCTCTTCAGCGTTTGATTTCCTTATACCATTTTACTTCGATTAAGATATAACCTATTTTTTCTTGAAAAAAGCAGAGCTCTTTTCTTCTCTTCAACTCTCCATCTCTTACTCTATGTTATCTCCCCTGTCTACTACATGGATATTACTGTTATTCTAATACAATGATTTCCACCAAATGTTTCCAAACACCACTATCGTTCCTCCGATTAAAATTGTGATTTTCATAAATTATTTCCAAATGCACTCAACTCATTCTGATAATTAATTACTTCCAGAATTTATGCAAATATAGAACAAACTGATGCCCTTCAATTGTAACAGATACAATGTTCAAAGCCCAGAAACCAATAAACGAATCCCAACTTTGGCAAGCCAGTAGTGCTGAAGCCCACCCCACCTTTAAATCTCCTCCAAACCTGAAAAACTACAATCACCCACCATATGTTCGACCAAATTCCATGTCAAACACCTTCTCTTGGAACAGTCTCATCCAAGCCCATTCACCAGTCGTGATCCCTGTCATCTAATTTGGAGCCTATGGGCACTTGAAATCACTACAGGAAGAAAAAGAATTTATGAATCATGATACTATAGGACAAAGTGGGTTAAAGTGTTTTCTCACAAATGCCATTTCATGGATAGCAATGGTCCATTGTTATGTGAAAAATTATGGATTAAATGAAAGTTTGAAACTTTTTAGAGGGACAATTGATTTCTGGAGCTAAATAGTTTTATTTTCAACTCTGATTTATGTCATGTTTTCTCTCAATAATTTTCTCATAAACCAAACGGTGGAAAATGAAGACTTCACACTTTCTCATCCCATCCCATCCAAATCATCCCACAAACCAAACAGAGCCTAAAAGTAGAGTTAAATTAACCAAAGCGTGAAAACAAAGAAAGAAGTTTTAAGCAATGTAAAACATGTCATGATTTAAGCAATTTATTTTGCCGTGTGCTATCCTCATTTCGTAATTGTGTTCCCAGGTTTGACTAAAGATTCTGGATTTCTATAAAACTGTTAATCCAACTGGTCTTATCAAGAAATAGGCAAAAGTAATAAAATTAGGTAACTGAAGATAAAAAAAGGTCTTGTTCTTGATTAATAATTAATGTACACTCCCAATGGCCACAATATGTGGTTTGTCTTGCATTTACATAGCCACATTTTCTGTTGCTTATTGATTTTGACTGTTTTACTTTGTCATAGGTCATTACTTTCACTTGAGCCACTAGCTAGCAAATTGTAGTGTTCAGACCAAGTATTCAAAGCAGATGGAATATGTACCGGTGAAGTTCAAAGCAGGCAAAGAAAGAGGATGTCTCAGAGTCTGGACATCCTGATACAAGCTCTTCCTGATATGACAAATGCCTGTCTAAGAAACCTACATGTTCTTATGCCCTAGTTCAACAGTTGATGCTAAGTAAAACCATAATAACATATGGTCCTTCAAGATGTTCATTAAATTAGTTGGATTACACTACAGATAAAGGCTTTTTTACACAGAAGAAAGGTGCTGATTCTCACTAGGTTGATGGACTCAAAATAGGGGCCATTGCTTGGTGCGGTGGTAAAATCTTGGTATGACAAGCATGGGTGTATGAGTTTGAGTTTGAGAGCAGCCACTTTGTGCAAAAAACTGCCAAAGGTTAGGTCTGTATCCAATCCACCCCTCCCATGACCCCAGATAGCCAAGAGCAACATCGGGTAATGGCCCTTGGTGGACTCAAGATCAATAAGCTCCAAATGCATGTAATGAAAAATAGTAATCTAAAGCCAACTTCGACCCATCAAATCAGTTAAATCAAGGGGTTACTTCAGCTATTAAGATTAGCATGATATAACCCTTTGTTATATATTTCAAGAGTATGACATATTCCTATGGAATTACTCTGTCGTTGATGAAAATGGGCAACCTTGAGGTTCAAGCAACTTGCTTCTCGTCATGCATGTTGAAAAGGAAATGCTACTCCAACAAATTTCGCTATTAGTTATTACTGAATGTAAATAACACAATATTGATTCTAGAGAAATGTAATATGAAGCATTGATTAGGTGTCTTGGTTTAGGGAGTTTCAAGAATTAATACAAAATTTTAGATCACTAAATTGAAGTAGATGTTCTGATGTGAAAATATAAGACATCTATTGTTGTTGTTGTTGTTGTAGTATTCAAATGAGTTTTGGAACTCTGGTTCCACCCTTGCTCCACCCCTTTGTGGCCAAACTGTCAAAGTGCTGCCTCCCCAACACTTGACCACAAACAGGGTGAAAACTGCCACACTCTATGGTTTGGGATTCTTTTTGCTTTTGTTTTTTTGCTGTTATTTGTATAATATATTAAAATCAAAATTCTGAAATCACCTGCTTCCACAAATTAGCTTCTTCCCATGGTTATTATTATTATTGGGAGAGTATTTGTAGCGATAAATATAGGCATGCCATTCTTCAAAGGTTAAATCAAATTATACACCTTAATTTTGTGGAAGTACACCATTGATTCTATATATAACTGCTGGAAACGCTGTGTTTTTGCAGGAGGAGAGACTTCAAAGATTGAAACATCGAATGAAGATTTATTTTGATGCTTCCAGGCCAGATCACCAGGTGCATTATACTTGATGAATTTTTTATCTGAGATCACATGGGTTAATCGTGGAAACAATCTCCACATTTAATATTTGAGGAGTATTATGGCATGAAACTCCTCATTTTATTGTACAGCCAGAATATTCCTACACCCCGCCAAAGAAAAAGCAACCAGTCCAAAAAATAATAAAGAAAAGAAAATTGTAAATACTGAAAGATAATATTTCCCTATCCTTTTTATTGGGACCATTGACTAAACCATTTTCATGGGGCAGGATGCTCTGAGAGCTCTTTGGTCAGCTACATACCCTGGTCAGGAACTCCATGGTTTGATATCTGAACAATGGAAGGAAATGGGTTGGCAGGGCAGAGATCCATCTACTGATTTCAGGTTTCCTTAATCTTATACAACCACTTTCTGTTGCTTAGTGTTTACTTTCTTTCATCAAGGTAGTTTTCTGTCTATGCTTCTTCATTGATATGATCAACTTACCTGATGAACAGGGGAGCTGGCTTCATTTCTTTAGAGAACTTGCTGTTCTTTGCAAAGACATTTTCTGTGAGATTCTAACCATGCTAACCAGTTGAGAATTTATACCACAAATCTGTGGTCCTTTATAGTATCAAATTAACTTTCCTGGTCTATCTGTATACGTCAATGATCATCATGATTTTTTTATACTAGATATTTCTTTTAAACTAATAGGCAGACGTCTGGATTTTATCTCTCTCCCTCTCTAGATATTGAGAGAGAAAGTTTGAACTGTCTTTTATTTATCTTTATTTTTTATTTGCAGACATCCTTCCAGCGCCTATTAAACAAGCAAGGGGGGAAGCGAGCTACATGGGAATATCCATTTGCTGTTGCTGGTGTGAACATAACATTTATGATCATGCAAATGCTAGATTTAGATTCTTGTAAGAATCAACTATCTGATTGGATTCCAGCACATGTTCTATTCAAATCACACCTCCATGAATATAGTGTCTTAGAATGTTTGAAGATTTATTATATAATTGCATAATCAGTGCCAAATTGGTCTTTTTTTTTTAATATAAAAGGGCTAGTCAACTGGTGTCATTCTAGCCTATTATTTTTCCTTTCTTTATTTGGATATTCGAACAGCATTATATGCTGTCATATTTGAACCATCCAAATTGCTTCGTAGTTCAGTAGGCTAGAAATCATAAATCCTACTCTTTTATTACTTGCATGTAGGAGCACCCAATTGTGATATTGCTAATGTAGGGCACCTTGTATTGCAGCAAAACCAAGGACATTTGTCAGAGCTGTTTTCATACAAATGTTGTCAGGTAAGAGCTGCTATGCAATTAGTTTAAACTTTGGAAAGCATATTTTTTACTTGGAAACATGCGACTGCCATAGAGGAGTTTGACTGCGGTTATATCAATATAAAAGTGGGGTACTGGTATTATATGTTAATTTCAGTCCTATAATTTACAGCATGTTCACATATAAGAATGGGCTTTCAAGATTTTTTTTCCTAAACTCTAGATAGTATGTACTATGAATTTCCCCATGTACAACGACTCATGGGTCAAATAATTTGAGGTATGATATTGATCAAGAGCTGGATGTGACAATGGAATGTTTCACAATTTTAGCTATCAGGATTTTTTTTTCTCCCCCCCCCTATTATTTCAGCTAAAGTGGTTAAACATGTTTTCCTAATGTTGGAAATAATTTATATTTATTTGTGTATTCAGAGAACGAATGGGCATTCGATTTGCTTTATTGTGTGGCTTTTATGGTTATGGACAAACAGTGGCTGGAGAAGAATGCCACATACATGGAGTTCAATGTAAGATGTGGCATGGCTTCATTGTCATCTGTAGTTTAGCTTGGGCTTTATTTCCCATGTTTTTGCTGCATGATTTTGGAACTTCTTGTTTTTATTGCTTAGCTGTCCGACTGATATTGAATTTAATCGAATATTGAACTATAATATTGATCAGGATGTCTTGAAATCTACTCGGGCTCAGTTGGAGAGAGAACTTTTAATGAATGAAGTACTACGAATTGAAGACATGCCCTCCTATGGCCTTCTTTATTAGCCTATCATGCAGGGAAAAAGTGGAGAGAATACCAAAGTTGTTCTTATCCATTTAGATTTAGATGATAATTAGGTGTACAGTCTCTCTCTCTCTCTCCACTTGTTCATTGTTTCTTTCCACTTTGCAGTTATTGGTGGTTGAGAAGGGTGTGGTAGTTTTGATGAGTTATTGCAGTTTTTCTGGAGTGTAATTAGTCTATCAGAAGTTTGATGGACAGGCTAAGGGTACTACTGCTCCTTTTTCCTTTTCGAAAATGAAGTCTAAAAGAACTAATCTGAGAATAATTTTCCCGTTGCAATAGCTGAAAATAGTGGACATAGTGCATCCATCTGGATTCTGGAAATGAAATACTGTTTGGATTTTGACTAATGTAATAAAAACAATGGTCGTGTTATCATTTGGCTTTTGCAATGGCTGAAGCTTGAGGAGGGTGGTGGAGTCTGCCTTTTCATGATAGCTGGTAAGTGATGCAGGTATGCTTCGAATCTCTATACAAAGTTGAGTCCTTTAAGGCTGCTTACTTTCCTAGTCGGAATATTAGCTAGAGCCGCATGATACCACCTCAGGTCTTGAATTGAGAATTGAGACTATGTAGTTATTTTAGAGAAGATGTGTATCCGCTCAAACTGGAGACTAGTCAGGAGTCGGGACTAGTGGGCGATAGACAGCTCATGCTCATCCAATTACTGTGGGATTATTCAGAAAGAGCTGCTAGTGCTACCTGCTGTGCTGGGTTGGGCAGGGCAGAATGTGGGCTCATTCTTATCCAGTTTTGCTGTTGTCTTTTAGTTAATTAATTTATAATTTCATAGTTCTTGACTTCTTGGGTGCAGTCCACCATCACGTACCTTCAGTAAATTAATCGATGGTGATCACGGCCGTTTTAGGCACCATATGAATAGAAACGGTTTGACTTGTGGTTTTCCTTAATATTTTAGAGAACACTTCACCGTTCAAAAATTTCTCGTTCTTTAGGCTCTGTTTGGAAGGAGTACAAATAAAAATATTTAGAGTGCAAAACCTTGTATTTTGTATTTTGTATGTATTCTTCCCAAAAGAAATTTTGAGAAGTTCTAAATCAAATGATTTTCAGGCACTAGGTAATGCTGTAAAAACCAAAATTACCTCATCTCATCTGGACTTTACGGCTTTACCCAAAATAAAATAAAAGGCTTAAGCAACTTCACTCTCAGTCAAAGTCTGTTTAAAGAATAAAGATAGATGTCAACGCATCCCCAAATAAAGCACCCCCTTTGTCTCTCTCTCATTCATTCTCATTGCGTGACGGAAACATGGCCGCTGTAATGCTTTCTCTTCTTCTCCGACTCGTCCTCTTTCCTTTAATGGCTTCTGCAGGTAAAGTTTAGTTAAAAGCTCGGTACTCATCTCTAGCCTCTAGGTAGTAGATGTAGATTCCGATGAGTGATATGATATGATTGAAAATAAAAATAAAAAAGAAAAGGAATTGCCGCCAACTTAACGTACAAAATTATCTTTGTTATTCGCAGCTGATCTACTTCGGAACCCAGACTTCGAATCCCCACCGCTCAATATAACCGCAGGACCCAATACTCCGTTGGTGCAATTAACCAAAGCCAACACCATTCCTGGCTGGACCTTCAACGGCACCGTCAGTTATGCGACTTCTGGTGGGAACGGGCACGGCATTCAGTTGGGTCGGGACGGCAAGATCAACCAGACATTTAGAGCTAGCGACAACTTCTATTACTATGTGTTGACCTTCACGCTTGCTCCAGGGATCGGCGACAATTGTTCTCAATCCACTGCCTTCGTAAATGTTTCGGTGCCTGGTAGCTCCAGACTCTTCTACCTGAAAAATCGATACGGGAAGGAGAAATGGGAGAGCCATTCATGCCATCTAGGGGGCTGGGGTGTCTCCGAGTTCGACAACCTCGTCATTCGGAGCCAATTCAACCATTCTGGTTCCAATGCTACTTGTGGGCCTGTGGTCGATACATTTATTCTCAAAGGGATCGAGACGCCCAAGTATTTTGAAGGTACATCGTCCTTACTCCTTCGCCATCGCCAGTTTCTCTGATAAACTCAAAATCATGGATTCGATCTGAATTGGTTTTTATTACAGATAATATCTTACCCAACGGTGGATTCGAGGTTGGACCGGCTTTTCTCAACAACTCCACCGAGGGGATTCTACTAGATGAAGATCCAGATGAATCGTGGTCAGTGCTACAGGATTGGTCTGTGATGGGAACAGTGAAGTACATAGACCGAAAGCACTATGGAGTCCCACAAGGCCAGGCTGCGATCGAGATCGTTTCGGGTGCTCCGTCGGGAATCAAAACGGTTCAAAGACTCCAGCAGGGTGCCGATTATAGCCTAACATTCATGATGGGTGACGCCAAGGATTCGTGCGTGGGAGAGTTGATAGTATGGGCCCAAGCAGGAAACACGATTCAGAATTTTACGATGCGAAGCGACGGGACAGGCTCAGTCCGAAATTGCTCCCTCACATTTAAGGCCGATTCAAGTCTGACCCCGATAAGCTTTGTTAACTTCAACGAGAGCCGGAATAGAGAGCTTCTTCCCTGTGGTCCGGTCATCGACGATGTGGTTCTTCTTCGTACTTCTGCCAGTGAGGGGATACAGAGAAAGCAATTTACAATATCCTGCTTCGTTTTTCTATTTTTAGTAATTCTTTAATTTAAGTCGTTGGGTTGCCTTCCTATGGTTGTTATTATTCTCTGTAACTGTAATTCTCTGTGCCGTAGTCCAAGTCTCTATTGAGGTTTGACTTTGTTAAACATGTGCTGCTGCCAACTCAACATCTTGTGAAATCGCATGAATTAGCTTGTAACAACTAAGAAATGATTAGTCAACTGGCGAAACAACTTTCTAGTTTCTACTTCTTCTTATTCTTCTTCTTCTCCCTCTCTCTCTCTCTCTCTCTCTCTCGATACACAGACAGAGACCGACGAAGCGGCCGGAAGTACTTCTCCCACTTCTCTTCATAGCAGCGGCACATGCAGGTGAATTAACGGCCGGCCCCAAACATATATATATTTTCTCTCATTAATTTTGAATTACTGCTTGCGACTAGCAACGCTGCCTTCCGACTTCGAAAAACCACCATCAAACATGCCGGCTAATTCCAGTTCTGACCCTTTTGTGCTTTTGAACCAAAATAACACCATTCCCGGATGGACCTTTTCCGGTACAGTGCAGTATGTAACGGCAGGGCCCAACGTATCATTGCCGGGGAACGGACACGCCATCCAATTGGGTCAAGACGGCAAGATCAACCAGACCTTCAAAGCTAATGGAGACATCCTGAATTACTTACTTACCTTCACCCTTGCACCAGGCGGAGACAACTGTTCTACCACCTCCAACGTTCTCGTCTCAGCTCCCAACAGGTCCTCGCTCTTCTCCTTGGAGTAAAGATATGGCAAGGAAAAGTGGGAAAGCCACGCTTGCTACTTGGGTAGTTGGGGATACGACGGAGAGCCCATCAACCTTGTCCTCCAAACTCAACCATCAGAAGCTGATCCAAATATCACTTGCGGTCCTGTGATTGACAATGTTGTTCTTCAGAGCACCGGAACTCTCATTCAGGCCACTGGTATGTAGATTTTCTTATCCCAAATGACTGAATCAATGCTAATGGACCAAACTGCTCCTTTCCCAACCCTTTTAATTTGAAACCATTAATTAATATTACTTATAGTAAGCATGTACAAATTGAATATTTGTATTGGTTAACTTTTATTTCTTCTCTAGCCTCTTCTCTAGCCTAATTTCTGATTGTATTTTGAGAGTATTATTAGAACACAAAAAGTTGTAAGATTATTCTTTAAAACATAAGAAATAAAAGGAAACAAACACCCATTTTTTTCTTCGGCCCCATTTCTTTTTTCGGTAAATTACTTACTGGAGTAAGTTTTTCTTGAGATTTACACATGTTATTTTATTTCTCAAGTAAAAAAAAAAGAAGTTCTACCAAAAAAAATTAAAAAAAAAAAGGAAATAGCCATTTTAATCATAAAAATCTATTATTAAAAGGGGTATTTTTGTCACATTAAAGTGAAATTATTTATCCATCTAGGAAATGGGTATCATTTATGAGTAAAATAAACTTTATTTAATCCCCACATTAATCTGAAAAAAGAATATGGGATCCTTGGTCAATTTGGAACCAACATCCCATTGGCCAAATTTCACCTCTCAAAATCCAAAAAAAAAAAAAGAAAGCCCCTTAAAATTATAAGATTCCTATAAATAGATAAGAGTTAAGGAAGAAAAGAACAAGCCCTAAACATTATATTAATTTCAAACCACCTCTGTTATATGATATGATATGATCGATCTATATTTATCTCTAACGCCAACTGTACAATTTATGGTATTCAATGGTGGGGTGATGCAGGCAACCTGCTGCTCAATGGTGGATTTGAAGTGGGACCAGCTTTCCTCAATGATTCCACTGAGGGGATTCTACTTGATGCAGAACCAAGTCTCACTCTATCAGCATTACAACAATGGTTTGTGATAGGGACAGTGAAATACATAGACTCCAAAAACTACAAAGTTCCACAAGGCAAAGCTGCAGTTGAGCTTGTTTCGGGAGCTTCAGCTGGGATACAAACAGCAACAGAGCTCAATAAGGGTACGACCTATAACTTGGAATTTGTACTTGGTGATGCAAATTTCATCGTGAGGGTGCAAGCAGGATCTACGTCAATGAACTTGACGATGCAGACCAACGGAACCGGCTTGGCCCAAAGCTTCCTCATGACTTTCAAGGCAGATTCATCTCTAACAAACATCAGCTTCGTTAGCCTAACCACGAGTCAGACAAGAGATTGTGTTTTGTGGTCCTGTGATCGACAACGTGGTACTCCGTGCTTCATTTGGGCTCAAACCACAAATGCAGAATTGGATGCTGGTTTTATGCTTGGTTTTCATCGTAGCTGTTGTATAGATTATTGAGAAGTAGAGCTAAATCTGAATTTGTTTTACCACTTATTATTATATATTACTGTTATTTTTTTTACAAGTTGTTCCTTGTAAGTTGTAACTGAATAATTTGATTTTGAGAACTTGGGTAAAGCATAGCTGGCCTGATTCCTTCGCCTGTAGAGATTGATTGGATCTCTTAGGTCCAAAAGCCTTTTATAAATTGCACTCCTTCAAAGGTTCTGATGGATTGATTGAAAGAGAATGATTGGTTTAGCAGTTGGCTGATGAACATTATTCAATAGTTCTGAGTTTTGGACAAAACAAGTGTCTGGATAATGCGTTAACGTGGATCAACGAGATCCCCACCGATAGATATAAATGAGTAGCTCTATACATTGAGACCCTGTTTGGGTACCAGTAAGGAAAATCGTAATGTTCTTCAGTTTCAAACAAATCTAAAATCTGAACTAATTTCATCGCACAGTTCTGTTACCAATCATCAGAGGATCCATCTTCGATAGTGATAGGAATAAAAATCATTTCGTTTCATGTAGTGCCTTAACTCTAAAGTCTAAACAACGTTTGCTTTGAATTACTGAAAATATGGAGACACTGATGGTGATGAAAGCCTGAAACAGGGTGATCATCTTCCGTTTCAAAATTTTAGGGACCATGAAATTTATTAGAGAAAAAATGAGGGAAAAAAAGAACGATGATTCAATGATCTTCTCTCTCATTAAGTCATGATTCATGAGCGCACTACCCCATTTATTACTCATTAGTTAGATAACTCAGACAAGTTCTAGAATTTCAGTCCATCATAGTGCAAATTTTCCATTTTCTTGTCATATGAACCCATATTCTCTCTGCACTTGCTCACCCCTTCCATCAACTTGCTTTTGCTTGGCGCTATCGTGTAGCTCATTGATATCTACACACACGACCAGATCAGACCATCTCAGAGACAGATTTTCAGTATGTTGCTGCCTGGACATCCACCTCTTAGAATTTATGATCTGATTGCATCTGTCAGTTATTTTCATGATCAGGGGTATAAAAATTTGTATCAATATCGAAATGATCGAATAACAATGAATATGATGGCATTGGAGCTCGTCCTCTGTCATTATACTATTATAGCACCCAGAATTCAGATCGCTGTTCACAATACCTGATTGGCTTTAACTTTCCCAAAGGAAGTTGGTAACATGCTCGGCATATGGCTGTCAACCAGAGCCAAAGTTCCTATTTGGCACACCGTAACACATTGGCTGATGGATGGCATGAAATATATTGTGGGTCATACTTTCTTGTGCAGGACATTTATTTCCATGACTTTAAGAAAGGTAATTGTTGCTATGTGTCCATGAGTCCATAATCCAACACTATGGAGTCTTACTTAACCCAAAACAGCATAGGGGGATTATCAGATAAGTGCCCCCATAAAAGTATAAAGTCAGTCTCTCTGGCATTAGAATCCACACATGGGCAGAGGATCAAACCCTTGGCTATTTCCCTTGAAACCAATAATGAGCTTTGGTGCATTTCTTTGGCGATGCCATGTCTGAGGCATTAACCACATCATTTGCACTAGAGTCACCCACATTATCTGACAAAAACTATTCATGTATTGAACTTCATTTATATTAATAAGATTGTATTTAAATTTACATCAATGGAGCATTTTTCATATTGACTGAAGTACAAATTCATTCTCCCTAATGATGTATTAAATGTTTATCAAGTTGCCAAGGTGATTGGTTCACAACTATCATGTACACATGCCAAGACATCTCTGTAGTCTCTTGATATGGTGAAAGAATCATAGACGTTTCCATCACTACTTCTCTTGTACTCAAAGAGTAGATAGGAATGGTTGAATGCTGTCAATTTGACAAATCCATAATCATAGTCTTTGTGGAGACTCCAGAGGGTCTGAAGATCACTAAACTCCGATAGATGACTACCTCCACCACCAACAACAACATGAATGGTCCCATTCACAGTACCTGAATAATGAGATTTTCCTGTGCTTACACACTGGCTCTGCATCACAAGAAACAAGAGAAAGTAAGGTGGGTAGAATGTAAAGTTCTAAATCATATAATTCAAGAAAAGTGATACACCATCCCAGCAATCCAAATATGATGGTGATATTTTCTTGAACAAAAGCTTTGGCTTCAGAAAATAAGGAGCTAACCAACAAAGTCAACAGACTAAATGCAAGTTTGGATGGCTCCCCACAGAGCACACCCCACAACAGCCCATTTCCCCCATGCATTGGGAACATCTTCCGTGCTTGTCATGGGGAGATGTTCCCAATTGGGGTGGGGGGATGGGCAGTCAGGTACACACTTTGTGGGGAGTCCATCCCATCTCACTAAATGCACCCATGTTATTTGCATACACTTTCATGCATTGTATACTCTACATGAAGAGGATATTGTCTTTTAATTAATAGAACCTCATGGAAAGATATAACATACATTGGCAATTTATCAATTACCTGGTATATGGGACATGTCCTTTCATAGTTATGGACATGGCCATAGAAAGCAATATCAACCTTATACTTTTGCCAAAGCTTCTGCAAGCTCTCTCTTCCCATTGGCTCTTCAAATGAGCCTTCCATGCCATAGTAAGACCCAGAGGAGTAACCAAGGACACGATGAGCAGCAAATATTAACCAAGGTTGTTTCTTCCTGTCTACTGATGCTAGGCAATGCTCGATAAAACGGTATTGTTCAGAGCCTTCCCTCCAGTCATGTTCACTGTCAGCTATACAGAAGTGAAACATACCATAATCCGTTGAATACCTACAAAAAGAAAATGATGTAATACAATTAGTCTTTTTGGCAGCGAATGACAGCATAGTATATATCCTTTACGTGTTTTGTTTCAGAAGGATGATAAATATTCCTCGTGGTGATTATTTTAGTTGTCCATGAGTTTTTCCCCCCTCTTCATGGGGCTACACAGTAGGGGGCATCCCATTCCCTAACCCTGGTGATGAAGGGATTTGATCCCAAGTCTCCATTACAACCAGTCAGAGGCCTTACCAACTGAGCCAATTGGCACCATCATGTTTATGATTTAATGTCAGTTTTCTGTTCAAGGACCAACATTAACTTTTTATTCCAACTTTTGGAATTGATGAAGAAGAAATATTATCTAGTTACCAGAATCTGGCCCTGTTCTCAGCAGGAACATAGAACATGGTCTCAGCTGGCACGCCACATTCTCCACCAGAATCTGTAGTGTCATAGAAGGATCCTGTTCCAGGCCAGTCACGTTCATGATTGCCACTACATAGAAATATAATAAAAGCAAATTTTTCAGTAACTTCCATCAGTAATATATCCAAGCCCAGTAAAAAAGAAATACATTTAAAATGTTAAAAAATGCAAAGTCAGCAAACCTCCCAACCATATAAGGCACAGTTGATGCAATGGGTTCGATCTGTGATGTGAACTGATCCCACTGTGATATATATCCATTTGAATATGGCATATCTCCAATATGGAAAACTATGTCAATGTTGTTCAAGTCCTTGATAAGCTGGTCTGTGGTATTAAGCGAGCCTGGCTGGTAATTGTTATATTCATTAGAACCATCACGCTCTGCCTGGAAAATGAAAATGTAGAAAATATGGATGTTAACCTGTTTACCATTATTCTTATAGACAACCTACTTGCACAAGACAAAGTCATGAGTTGAAAGTTAAATAATGACTCTTATGTTAAGAATGGAAAAGAAAAAAACTAGTCCGTAAGCTAAAAAAACCCATAGTAACTGATGTATATTGATTCAATAAGCTAAAAAATCCATCATTTCTTCAAGGAAGCAAAAGATAATCCTTTGATAAAGTCTAGATTTAATATTAGAATAGATGGACATTTGGTATACAGGGTAAATCTTGCATTGAAAATTGTCCCTATTTAACGGAACCTTGGAGAATTTGTAAATGGATTTTTAAAATATTTGGAATCCACTAAAAAAACTAGTTAGGCTCCACAGTAACTGATGCATATTTATTCAATAAGCTCAAAGTTTATCACTTCTTCAAGGAAGCAAAAGATAAATGCTTTTTTTGGTGAAACAAAGATAATGCTTTGAAAAAGTCAAACTTTAACATCAGGATAAGTGGATGTTTGGTATCTGGAACAGCGTAAATCATTTGCTAAAATATGTTTCTCCATTTTCTATAATAAGAAAACTTTGGAGAGTTTGCAGACGAATTTTAAAAATATTTAGAATCCATAAAAAAAAGAAGCAAAATTGACAGTTTTTTATGCAAATCTGAATATATCCAGGTGGAAGCTGCTTACTATGGAAGGTAGAGTTCACTTAAAAAAGAGGGAATGAAGAAGGTCAAACTGGGAGTGTAGCTTACTGTTTAGGTAGATGCTTCCTGCAACCAAGGCAAACAACTACTACTACCTACTGATGCTTCAGACAAAAGAATTAAGAAGGTGTTTAACTTTTGTTTTCCCTCTTTTTTTTCTTCTTTTAGGTAAAAGCAAGAAGTCCTTAGTTACTACGTTGACTGCAGAAATTGTGTAACGATAGAAAAATGGTATATGTGCCCCAAATACAGGAGTTAAAAGAAGGCAATTACCCAATGTTGGTCCCAGCTATTTGGGGTCTTGGGAGGGGTAGAGTGGGTATGATCATAACCTTTGGCATTTTTTGCACGAAGTGGCCATCCTCAAACACAAACCCACGTTCTCAGGCTTTCCAGCCCAAGATATTACCATTACACCAAGTAATGGCCCCTCCCCAAATGCAGGAGTATAGATCCAAAATGCAGTTTGTCCTACTACGATCTGAGAGATAATCTGTCAGAATTTATCCTCCAAATTCTCCCATTTGTTATCTTTTTTACAGGAACCTGGCATTAGTTTTCTCAACACAATCTAACAATAACATAATGGTACATGTAGCACAAATATAAGAGTATAGATATAAAATTCAGTTAGTCCTAGTAGAACAAATATAAGAGTATTGATGTGGTATGATGATGACTAATCAGTTGATGCAATGACTAGTTGGTGCCAAGGCAGTGAGTAGCCAATCATGAAAAAGATGCATCCTAAATATAAGATATTGATAAAATCATATATAAGTCAATTTGCATGCACTTGTGCAATAAAAGAAAAATATAGCAAACACTTAATTTGTAAGAAAACTTACAAAAAATATATCAAACATTTAATTAGGAGTTATTATAGCCTTTGTTTGGTGCATTCCTTTATCTATGGCAACTCAATACCAGTACACCATTGATTGGAAGAAAACTAACAAAAACTCCTCCACCATCTGCTTTTATTACGTCTTATCTGTATTTGTATACCACCAACCAATCATGTTCAATCACAAATGCTTAAAACAACTAGCAAGAATGTGCCAAATAAAAGCATATATAATACTACTTTAAATAGTTATAGATGAAGACAAGCAAATAAAGTATTAATCATATATTTGACTAGGTCGACCTGTTAACCCAATCAACACTTAATCAGCCCAAACAACTGCATCATGAGTATTAACTGGCTAATTAAAGTGATTGGTAATGGCCCTCATTTGACTAGTTAATACTTTGATTAAACTGGGTCATATCCATTTGCCTTTTGGCCTACAAGACAACCTAGTTAGATAAGCCATCAAAAGGATTGATAGATGAAACACTCTGCATGTGTGCCATGTGCAACCATATCAGTTAGCAGACTACTCTACAAATGGTGTACTCGACTGGTATATTCAATTTGTTATACACAAATAATGAGTGTTTATTTGCTTATTTACTTTTAACTTCTGATTCTACCTTTCCCATGTCTCCAAATATGATGATTTTCTGTAATGAATTCTGCCCAGGGTAAGGGGACGACTTGAAAGAATAAATCTTGCTCCAAATGTATGAACCATTAAATAATCGGTGACCAAGCTTGTAAGTATACCTGGATCAATCATTACCACCCTCTTAGAAACATATTGTTTAATTCTTGTAAACCCTATTACAGCAAAAAATATGCGTCATTAAGATTTATACACTGAATTAGGCCATAAGTCTCTCAGGAAACTTGTATGTATAAAACCAGGATCACGCCAACCAACTGTCCGTGCTGGTGCACCTGCATAATGCAGCAAGTAAACCACATCACAATGTAGCCCATGGATGTTATCCTGCCCAACCAAGAGCATTGATAGAATAAAGCAATATGGATGCAAAATATTAGGTGTTCCACATCGTGACTGCAACTCATATTCTCATGGTAACCAGTATTGCATGTATTCTCCTAAATGGATGAATTGTCTGCTTAAAATATGCATCAGACTCTGACACTCCATGGATTCTTGAGGGACACTCCTATTTGACATTTTTCTTTCTTGCCTATTTGGCATAGATGAACAGTTAATGTACAGTGTCATTTTTCCTACAAAACGTTAAGTAATAAAGATAATCTTTTAAAAACTGCCTATAGTTTATAATGTTAAAATTCAATAAAATAAGGAGTATTTTAATTGTTTTTGCTTGCTCATAAACATTTTCAATTCTGATTCCTGTGTCTGTGTCAACATTCTAGCCGTGCTATCAGTAAGGCAGAAAAAACATACCATATTTCAGCTCACAAGTCTTAAACTAGAAATTCAAACACAAGGAAAATGAAATCAAGGAACTCCCGTTATCCAGATATTTTAAAAAAGAAAGAGAATTAGAACCTTCATAAGATGTTAGGGAATGATAAGAGAACACATTAGATCAGTCAATATGATAAGGAGATTTATTAATATGGTCATGGCAATGCAGATAATACAAGTGGACCTTGGGGGGTGCTTTCACTGCATCTGTGAAAAGAAGAGATCTTATGCAAGTTGATCATTTTAAAGAACCAGGGGAAAGTAAAGAAAGACATCAATTGAGATAGTAAGAAAAGATATCAGGACCCACAATTTAATGGATAATATGGCTTACTATGTTGGAGTGGTAAAACAGGATTCACGTGGCTGTTTTATTTTTTTTTTTGGACAGTTTTTGCTAGTGCAAGATCTGGGAGTGCAAAAACTAGAGATTAACTTTGTGTGTTCCTCACAAGGTTATGTTTGTCTTTGATGTTTGAAGAAATTAAAATTGCAATTAGGTTTTTATTTTACTTTTAAATAAGCATTAGTATATCCAAAATAAATAAAATGTCAATGAAGCAAACATGATCAACATGGTCAATTAAAACAAGAGAATGCTCAAGAAATGCAAGTTCGTGGAGAGATGAACCAACTAAGACGTGTTCGCAGGCATCACTAATTAGTTGGAGGAGAAAATTTGGGACCAAGATGCAATTTGTAGTTTGTATGCATTCACACCCTTTGTCTTAATTGCATCAAGCAGGCTACTAAAAAAAAGGGATCATACCACACATGCTGTTCCGCTGAAATGTCAATGTCCCAGCTGGTGAGTGCATCTGAGGTTCTCCTTTCAGGCCCCACTCGACAAAAGGAACAGCCTCATTTATATCATAACCACTTGTCCATGTTACTGTCATCTGCCAGAAAACATAGGATATTTGGCACATGGAATTTTAGATGTTCCAAAAGACAAAATAGAAGACAAAGGCCAATACTTCAACAGATAAAGTTTCTAACCAGAGCTTGCTGCCAAAACATAACTATTTCAAATTGACCAATCTTTGAAAGATTCATTTAGAGAAGCTATAGTTTTTTATGGATAAACATAGCTATTTCATCCTCAGAGAAATCACTATTACCTCATTTACATGGCTTCTCAATCCTCCAAATGAAAATATTCATCATTTATCAACCATCTTTAAATAAACAATGACATGGAGATCAAGATACCCCAAGTGTGTTAATAATGTTTTTTGACAGTGACCACATAATAACAGGAAAAGGAAGGAAAGGAATATCATTATTTTATCCAAACCAGAAGGCCAGAACTATTCAAGGAAATAAATTTATTAGCTACATAATAAATAACATTGGTTGGAAAGTGATGCTAAAATGGAACAGTCTACTACAAGTGGCATTGGACACTGAAGACCTAAACAAATGTATCATGCCTAAGATAGTCAAAATCCTTTCAGAAGATTGCTCAAATAGACTTACTTCATCCCATGACTTCCCTTGAGCAAGACGTGGATAAACAGGTGCCTTTGGATTTGCAAAGGATATCACATTTGAAATTGCCACTACTTTTGGCTGCAAATTCCAGTTGTAACATTAGTCTGATTATGAGTGGATGTGGAATTCCACATTCTCTAATAGCTCAGTTCATAAGATGATAAGATAACAACAAAAGAGTAGTGAACTACAAAATAAGATCAAATATCAGATGGCCAAGCATTTAAGAATAGTAGTTATAATAGAGCACCATCCTGGTTAGGAATCAGAAGAAAAATAGTGAACTACGAAAAGAAGAAAGAATCATGAACACACATTTGATAATCCACCTGAAAATAGAACAAAGGAGAAGTCTGCCCGCTGATTGATCAATTGGAATTTCAGAGAACTTTTCCCTGTCTTTGTATAATTTGGACTGGAGTAATTTGCATACTGGTACTGAAGATGCACATGACCAAGATTCGATTAGTTATATTACCAAATGAGAATTCTTTTAGTTGAATGCAAAACCAGGAAGATTATTCCACTATTCCAATACTGTAAATTAGATAAAGTACAAACCTTTATTGGTGCAGAGCATATAAATGGAGCCCGTACTCTTGAACCAGTGCTTTCTTGTGGACAGATCGATAAACTGCCAGATTATATCATTATAACAATAAAAGAGGGAAAAGTAGACATTATTCTGGAAGTTTGGATTTTGGTCCAAGAATTAGTGTATGGTGGGGAAAAAACTCCTAATCCATGCATAGTAGAACAAAAGATAACAAAGAAGGATAGAGGAAAGCATTACTTGAAGTTTGCAGGAGAAAAGACCCCAACCCAATCATCTTCAGATGGATTGGGGCAATGAAGCATCACAGTTACCCACTGAGTATCTTCCCCCTGCAAGAAGTTGATCAAGTATTTAAACCAATCATTTCAAGTAGCTGACCCCATATATTTGGGACAAGGCTTAGACAATGATAATGGCTTTAAAACCTACCCAAGCATTCTGAACGTCAAGAATTCCAATAGAGTAAATGTAAAACCTATTATTTCATGTATATGTAGGAATAACATGTTGTTGCATAAAGGAACACACATATAATCGATGGTCCAAGCTAGTAAATCACTCCAACAGGATTAGAGCTGCAAACAGATCGAATTGGATCTTATCCATCAGACTTATATGGGATTTGAATCAAATTCGGATTGCAATCAATATTGAATAGTATAAATAAATTAAACTAAAAAATGATCAAAATTTTATATATTTATTCATAAAGTGAACTATCATGAAGAAAATGAATTAAAATTACATATATGAATTTTGAACCTATGACAATTTAGGATAAACACAAAATTCAAATCAGCTTTACTAATAGATACAAAATTCACACACACACACACCGTTTGCAGCTCCAAACAGGATGATCACTTGCCGGTGATAAACTCACTGTAACAGTCAAGAGGAAAACTCGTTACTTGGAAGTTGGAATATCATGATCATATGATTGGGTGCTATTTGGAGCAGCATGGGCCACTAAAATCTAGGGTCAGAAATTCTCTGAGAAACCTTAGAAGCGGACAAATGATATAAAAATGCTAAATGTCAAAGAACTCCCAACCAATGATTACTCCTCCTCTAGTGAGGATTTTGCTTTTACGACCAAAAGTTTTAATATCATACAAGTTTAATAAGGTTAATTAAACAGATGCATTGAAGCAAGGAAGATTAATTAGCATATTATATTAATAAGAAGTAAAGAAGAAGATCAAAGTAGAAACAGAAAAACAAAGAGTACAAGGAGTAAAGAAGAGCAAATTGGAAACTAATGGAATATGGGTACTAGTTCTTTCTACCTTCAAGCCAAGAACAAAAGGGTATGCCTTAACAGACGCTGAATCTAGAAGAGCTAACGTTGCCTTGTGAATTGCAATCTTTGACAACGGCTGCTCGCCACCCACAACCCTATGAGATGCTGCTGCAACACCATTGGAGAGCAACAACAACACTAACAACAACTTGAGAGATAACATTCTCTCCATCCCTGATCTTTTTAGAAATTTGCGGCAGGAACAACTAGTATAGTAGTAGTATTCTAGTATTTATATACCAGACTTGTCAGCTGACTACCAATCAACCCTAACTTCGGAATGTTATCAATTAGTATTTATATTTCCGAGATGACGTTTTCCCGCGATTGATTTTCTTTGATATGGGCTTCAGTTTCTTTTTGACAGTTGACGTTTACAAGAACGTGGATTACCTTGGATTGGAATATTTTTTGTTGCATGTGTTAAGAGCAGTGACACCTCATAACCATGCACAGTTACGTAAATAGGAGGATTCAAATTATTTTAAATTTTCTGTTGTAATCTCTTATCCTAATCTTAATCTTGAAATGTTAACTCTTATCTTGTAATCTTAAAGAGTCCATCACTGACTCACCCTCACCTACTGTCGATTAGAGGTGTAAATCGGGCTCTGCCGCCCGCGGTTTGATTCGGCATAATGGTACACGGACTCTGTCAGGCCTGGCATGATTGTATGAGTTCTATTAAATTTGAAGTTTTAGGTTTATGGGCCCTGATATGACATGGCCCATATATATTATTTATATATTTTATATAAATTAATATAATTAATTAATTTTAGTTTAATTATCCAAGCTTAATTTTGTATTAATATGAGTTTTTTTAAATAAAGTTGAAACAAATTAATACATGTTTATTAATAAAATAATAAAAAGTAAGAAAAAATTTAGTCTCAAAATTAAATCTTATAATCTGATATCCATTCAAATTTCATTAAAAAAATAAAACAATACTACAAATTTGTTAACAAGATTAAGAATTAACAAATTTATTAATTTTAAACTTAATTGTTATTAATTTAAAAACCTCTAATCCATTTAAAATAACAAAATAAATACTAAATGAAAATTTAGTAAAAGTTAAAATAATTTAATAAAAAATACAAACTAATACATCATAATGCTCCTTCCCGGGGTAAAACTTGGGTGGATTGGGTGGGATTAAGGATCAACCCAACCCTCCCTAAGCCTCAAACCTTGAACTCAGGTTTAATCCAACTCAAAGTTAAGCCCAAATTTACCAACCCAGGCCCACCCAAGTTGCACCTCTAACTCCAAATTTTTTTAACAAAGCATATGAGCAGAACATTATAATCCCTTCTACCTTTAACAAAGCTGAACCGAATTCGAAGAGTCCAGACTAGAGAGTTCTACTTTCGGTAGCAGCACCAACAAACTTTTAGCTTTCTACATGGTCCAGCCCTGCTTTTATTAGGATCAAATCTGCCCTAGACAATATTGAAATAAAGTCAAAAAGAACCAACACCAGCTTTAAAAAAAACTAGCGGGGACCCATGGGATTAATTAAGAGAAAGCTAAATAATAAAAAGGGTCATACATTAAAGTACCCTTATAGTTTCATGGATTTACTAAAATCTACCTTATAGTTAGCATTTTACCAAAACACCACTTATAGTTTGTAATAAATTTAATCAATCTTCCATTAGATGACAGTGTTGACCTAATGTTTATTTAAATAAATTTAATCAAAAGAAAATAAAAATAAAAATACAATTTTTGCCCTTAATAAGACATGGGCAACCACTCTATAGATTATATTTGTTCAATTTTGCTTTTTATACAAAAAAAGTGTTAGGGTGTTTTTGGAATAAAATATCATGGGCCTAAGGGCAAAACAAACACTCTTTAATGAAATCGTGGGCCTAAGGCCCCAACCTCGATTCTGAAATTAACACCCATCCCCAATCCCTGACGGGGATGGGCTCCCCGTGAGGACCCGAATCCCCAAAATATTTTCAAATAATAGTATTTTTTTAAAATAAATAAAAATTTTAAATTATAAAATAAAGTTTTAAATATGTTTTGATATATATATTGATGAGGGCGGATTTGGCCCTCCAGTGAAATTGTGACACCTGGCCCTCCAGTGCAGCCTCTTGACAACTGGGCAGCTCGGCACAGCTCGGGCAGCTCGACATAGCTCGGGGAGCTCGGTATAGCTAGGGGCAGCTCGGCATAGGCAGCTGGCCACTCCGCAGGCAGTCTGGCGTCTTACGAAGAGCTTGCCACTTAGGGGCAGCTCGATACTTACAGGTAGCTCGGCATAGGCAGCTGGCCACAGGCAGCTGGCCACTCCATAGGCAACCTAGCATCTTACGAAGAGCTCGCCACTTAGGGGCAGCTCGGCACTTACAGGTAGCTCAACATAGGTAGTTCGGCACTTAGGGGCAGCTCGGCGTATCGTAGGAAGATCTCCTGCCTGACAACCGTACCTGACAGATCCGGAGGCCTGCGCCCACGTCTCTCGCTAGGCGGCGCAGTGCCTACTAGTCCTGAGAGCTGTCCCTTGACTGGCAGAGCCGTACTCTGCAGCAGCCGCCTGCATCTGCCACCTCAGCTCTAACAGTAACGGCTGCGGCAGATAGACAGAAGCAGTTACGCCTGACTTGACAGAGGCTGTTACACCTGATTTGACAGGACACCACTATATAAGGACTCTGACCCCCAAAGACAAGGGGGAGATGATGAAAAAATGGAGGTAATCCTTGCTCTCTAACTCTCTCATTTCTCTCCAAGCTCCCTACAATCATAATGCTAACTTAGGCATCGGAGAGTCCCCGCCGAGAAAATACCCCCAGGTCCTCTGATTCAGTTCTCGCAGGTTCCTCAGCTCCCGCCACCTACAAAGGAGAGGAGATCACCTCATGCAGAGGGCAGTCGGGTTGCGCTACACCAGGGAGCTCCACCATCCCCTGAGTTACAGGCCGCCTAGGAGCAGGTCAAATGACG